GCTCTAGTCCCTGACTTGAGCTGCATTAGTTCCCCTTCTGTGCCTCCCATCTGGGAATCTCCACCCTTCCCATTCTCAGCTGCTCCTCACTGATTCTCTCCTCCATACACTGGGGCAGCCACAGTGCTCTCTGAGTCCCACTGCATGGGCTTTGAAATTTGAGCCATTTCCTTCCTGAGTTGATGCATTGGAGGTGAGATTGCTTTGGTATCTGGGGAAGATTCAGGGAGGAGGTGGCATTTCAGCAAGCCTTCAAGAAACTTTTGTGGGCCTGGTTTGAAGTGGCCCTTCCCAGCTGCAGTTCTGCACCCAACACCCATTACTTCTGGGGTGGGCGGGGCAAGGCCACGAAGTGGATGGACAGAAGGATGCCGGGCAGAGAGCCCCAGGCTTCATCGGCCATATCTGCATCCAGCCCACTCTGACTCAGGATGTGAAGCCCCCTCCCTGCTGCTGCCCTGACTCTCCCCAAGTTTCCTATTTCATTCCCCCTTCACCACCATTATCATGCCCTTAGCCTAAAGAGTCACAGAAAATTGACCAATCAGAACAAAGGCCAGATGGGCACCCACCAATTCCAGTAAAGGACAGGTCAGGGCATTCCCCCAATCCAAGTAAAGGGCAGGTGAAGGAGCCCACCAATCAGAACAAAGGACAGATTATTCTCTCTAAGCCCACTGGGGCGGGAGCTGGGGGTCACGCGCAGAGCAGGAGGCAGACACAGCCTGGAGATCTAGAGACTTGGGCTCTGGACCTGGCTCTGCCCTGACTGCCTGGCTGACCACAGATGGGGCATCGCTTCTCTTTAAGTCTCAGTTTCCTCATCTGTCAAATGGGGAGACTTAGCTGTCCCAAGCCCATGGCTTAGAAAAATTTCTTTCCCTACATCAGGGATCAGTCCATCACCTTGGTCCCTCTTCTCCAACTTCCACATCACCCACATATCAAACTCCACTGCAGGGTAGGGCCCCTCAGCACTCAGCTTGTCCACCTCCCCATTTTCCAGCCGGGAGCAGACCTAACTAACCCAGCACCACCTCCTAGGGCCCTGCCTTGGAAACCCCAGTCTGAGGAGCCTGGGGTGGCAGACTTTATTTCGGGATTATCTGAGGCATCAGCTCTCCCTCCACTCTTTAGTCTGCAGAATTGACCTCGAAAGGCCCAAATAGCCTACATGTCTATTATGTGGGCAGGTGTTTCTGAGCTCTGGCCCTGTGAATCCGTAAGGAAACAGCTGCACCTGTGTGAGCTTGCGTGCATCCCGGGAAGGTGCCTGAAGGCACGCTGGGTGTTTCTGTGAGGGTGTGAAGACCTGTGGCTGTGTGGCTGATAGGTGTGGTGCTGGGGGTGAGTGCCCTGTGATGAGGTGCACCTAAGGACAATTGTTCCAGTTTGGGGGTTGTATTGTTTGGAAGCAGCAGCTTCTGTTCGAGGGCAGAGACATAACTCTATGATCAAAATGTGTCTTCATTCTTGAGCATTGGGAGGGATCAAAAGGGAGGCTGGGCTTTGAGGAAAGCAACGCTAAGTAAGCATTCGGGGAGAAAGTCCACTGCTTTCCCCTCCTGGCAACACTGGGCTGGGATGGAGCGGGGTAGGGAGGAAACAAGCTAAGGAGACACAGGGTGAAATTTGGAGCTTGAGTCTGGATGCCACTGCAGGACTCCTCTCTGTAGTCTCTCTGAAAAATGGGCATTTAGCCCATTCTTGCACACCTTCAGAGATGGGGAGCTCACTTCCTCCCTCTCGCCTGGTAGCCTCTGCCTACATAGCATGGCTTTGCCTGGAAGAAGGTCCTTTATCCTATTTGCCCAAGGGCAATTACCTGTGAAATCCAGCCTCCCCTGCTCAGAAGAGCCTGAGAGATTGGAGTCAAAGACTGAGACCTCTGGGTCTGCTCTGCTTTAGGCTAGGCACCCCTAGATTCTCCAGTCTTAGTCACATGTAGGACTTGGTTTCCAGTTCCCTTCTTACTCTTGAGTCTCATCTTGTCCTCACCTGGGACACAATGCACTGGAGATGGTCTAATCAGCCTATAGAAGTAGCGGAACTGTCATCTTCTCTATTCAGGTTAATGGCTCTTTATAAAAATATGGCCTGCAGTTTCAGCATTTTAATGTATTACCAGCCATACATACACGAGGGGCTCATGCTGAGCTTGTGGTTCGCTAAGACCCTCAACCTCATATAATTTTCACATGGCCAAGCCATGTCTCCTTCATCCTGTAGATAATCGCTTTGTTTTTTGAACCGAGACCCAGCCATCCTCAGGGAAGACATCGGAAAGAACTTCCAAGGGCTAGTGGGAAGGGCATGGCTGAGGGAACACTATGAGTCACGATCTTGCCTTGGCCCTGGATCCCGTTACATTACCTTTCTCTTTGATCGCCATGGCTCTGGCTAAGTTAATAGAGCGAGAAGCAGGGACCTTTCTTGTTTCTGTTCCGGCTCTCCAAGGACGTGGCCTATTCCTGGAACGGGAAGGCTGTGAGGCAGTCAAGGCTGACTTCTCCTTCCCCTGCTATCTTGCCAGGGGCTGGCCCAACTGTGTTTCTCCCACTTTGTGGGCTTTCGCACCGTTTGGACTCTTGCTACTCCCAATCCAGCCCCTCGCAAGGTGAGGCTGGATGAGAGCACCTCCCTCTTGGGGAAACTGAGTAGGACCCAGATTCAGCAGCTATTTAGCTGAGCACCTACTCTGTGTGGGTAATCTGGGAGGCACTTTTCGAGTTCAGTTTCACTTTATCTTCCTATCAGCCTGTAGGGGGAAATGGCCACAGTTGCCTTCAATTTATAGATAGAAGACTGATTCAGTGACTTGACCAAGGCATGCATTGCTACTAAATAGTGCATCTAGGATTCAAAACTGGGGGTTGTTTTGTTTGCTTGTTTTGCCTTGTTTTAGTGTGGAAGCTTGTGCTTTCTCTACTATGCCAGGGTTGTCCTTGGCTAAAGGATAAAAGACCTGAGATTTAGGCTACACATGACCCCTTGACTCACTGTGAGTTCTTTGCTAGGTCCCTGGCCCTTTTCTGAGTCCCTGTTTCCCTATCTGTAAGATGATGGGACTTGGACATTCTAGGGCCTTAAGACCTGTTGGATTCTGAGATCCTAAGATCCTGGGGTTCCTGTGTCTGAGAGCCTTGGGCTCTGGTTTAAGCTGGGAGTTTGTGCCCAGATTGGGTGGCCCAGACCTGCCTGACAAAGGTCCTCACTGCCATTTCCTCTCTTCCAGGATGCTTTGCTGAGCCTGGGCTCTGTCATCGACATTGCAGGCTTGCACCGGGCTGTCAAGGAGGCCTTCTCAGCTGTGCTCCCCAGAGTGGTAGGTGCCTGGCCTCCCATTTCCCCTGCCCCGCCCTCCAGACTTTTGCCCAGCCCCTTGCTGTACCGCATATCAGGTCAAGAAGGAAGGAAGAGGCAGGGTCCCTGCCCAGAGGACTCTTATGGGGAAGTGAAGGGTTTAGTTGAGTGTTCAGAGAGGGCTTCCTGGAGGAGGAGGGCTTGAAGCTAAGCCCCAAAGAATGAATTTACATAGGAATCCTGGAATGTCTGAGACAGGAGGGGCCTTTGACCTTAACTGAGAAGATCATGTCTCAGATAACAGAATGGATTCACTTAGGATAACAGCCAGGACATAGTGGCATCAGGTGGGCTTTGGAATATGTACAGCAGGAGGGGTGAGGGCACACTTGCAGAAGAACTTCTTTGATGCCAGGTCTAGAAGGTGCTGGAATGGGGCTCAGCCTTGATGAATGAATCTGTGCCGAGTAAAAGTGTCCTTCCTGGAGACAGGAGGCTAGACAAGATGGCCTCTAGAAACCTTTAAGCGTCTCTCTAATCCATTCCAACACCATGAATGAGGTTGAAGATTGGGGCACGTGGAAGGTAGTTGCCTGGGCCATGGTCACCTGGTCACCATGCTTGCCTGACCCAGAGTGTCTTGGTGAGGAAACTGTGCCACTCATCAGCTACCCCAGGCTAGTCCTCAACCTGGCTCCAATGGCCGCTGTTCATCCTTTAGGCAGTAGAATGAATAAACTGGCCCTCCAGACCCAAAGCAGCAGTGTCCCAGTTGTGCCAGAGAGAGGGAGGGGCGGGGGTTGTGACCCAGCCGAAGGGGCATGGCAGACTTACTAGAGGAGAAGATGCCTAAGTGGAGTTTCCATAGCCTGGAATGAGGACTCTGCTCGATACCAGCCAAGGGCAACCTCTGCTCCAGGAAATCAGGGTAATTTGGAAGGTGATTCCCCCACACCCAGGGCCCATTGTGTCTGAGTCTGCTTGATGTGTGAACCACCTGAGGCCCACAGAAGGTGGGTGCTTCCCCCAAGGTCACATAGCATCACAGGGATAAGTGGGGCTTGGCACCTAAGCACCCCCATTCCCTCTCCTCAACTCTGCCTTGTCAAAACCTAGAAGTTCAGAGCCCAGGAGGAGGGCTAATGAGTGAGCTTTATTGAGCATGAAATTGGAAGGAAGTGGGTGGTGTGATGGCACCCAAAAATAAATCCTCCTGGAGAAGGATGGAACTGAGGCAACATCTGGCTGGAGGTGGAAAAACATCTGGAAACGAGAGGGTTTGGAGGTTGGCAGGTCAGTGTCTGCAAGGCTGCCCCAGTCCCCCTGTGGCCATTGAGGTTGTCCTGGGTAGGGGAGGAGGAGGTGGCTGGCCAGGCCTTCACAGGCAGGGTGCCCAGCTGTGCCAGCATAAATGCCCTGCACTGGATTAATTGTATCCCCAAAGCTGGGGGCTGGGAAGACAGTTGTGGTCCAGGAAACACCGGTTCCTGGAACAGTGGGTAATGTCTACCTTGGCCCATTCGAGAGATGTGTATGAGCTAGGGAAACCCTGACTTTGGCTGCATTGCATGGAGGGGCTCAGCCCCCGAAGAGGGGTGGGGAGATGGGAGGTCTGCTTTGTCCCCAGGGAGGTGGAGGGAGATGGCAGGTCTGTTCTGCCCCCAGAGAGAAGGGGAAGTGGGGGAGGGGCTCTCCCTAAACCCTCCCCCCATCCCCCTTCCCCTGCCCCAGTGAGGACAGCCACAGGCATCTGGCTCCCTCATCAGCACCCATTGTGGCAGGCAGCCCCAAATGCAGATGGTGCTGATGTGCCTGAAACGGTTCCCTCCTTCTCTCCAATGAGCTCAGCTAATTTTAACCCAGAGGGCTGAGAGTGAGGGGGTGGGCGGCAGATGGACGCCGGAAGTGAAGTGAGGGGCTGTCCTCCCTGCCTCCCCACCCCGGGAGCGTCCACCCCTCTCTGTCAGGGCAGGACTCTCTGTGTGACCCTAGGTACTGAGGAGTCTCTTACCCACTTTGGGACAAATCCCACAGGCCACTCCCAGGCTGCTGAAAGGGCCGGATGATAAGAAGGAGGCTGGATATAGATGAGGAGTAGGTGGCCTCCTTTCCACTGATTTCTTTGTCCCTGAACTCACCACCTAAACCCTCGCCCAGGAGGACTACGGGGCTCCAGGCCTTGCCTTTGTCTGCCCGTCTCGCTCCCCTCTCACTCAGGCCCTGTCATTCGCAGCCCACACCACCACTGTGTCTGGCTCAGGTTCTCTGGAAGGAGGACTGGGCCATCTCCTGGGGATTGGGAGAGGGTGGGGGCTGGTTGGGAATAAGCAGGATTGTGGATACTCACAGTCGCAAAAGGCAACTGCTTCTGCTGAGAAGGATTCCACACTTACTGAGGATGGGCCTTCAACATCTAGCTCCAACGTCACCTCCTCCAGAAGCCCTCCTTGTTACCATCAGCAGAGAAAAGAGCTCTGTATTCTCCCACTGAGAAAACAATGCCCCTTGGGGTACTTCGCTGGGCATGTGGGTGCCCCATGCGTGGGGCACAGACTCTCCTGGATAGCACTGGCACCTGGGATTGCCTCGTCACACTAGTGTGGGCAGTGCATATGCTCTGCAAGGCTGTGTGCTGAACTGGAGTTGGCTCTGGAGCCCTAAGGGTAGCCAGTCCTGTCTGGAGGAAATGTAGATTTTTTTGCCTGTGGGTCAGTGAGGACAACTGCTTCTTCTAAGACATGGCCTGGTACTGAGGCCGAGACTGCTCTGGGCCCTTGGGGAGGTTGGATTGACAAACCGAAGACTTGACAAGCTTTGGTCTCACTCTAGGGAGTGATCATTCCATAATACAAATTACTCTTGCTCTCTCAGAGCTCACCCCACCCCGCTTCCACCCAGCAGCAGCCCCTGGCATCCCCCTGCCCCGCCCCCGGCTTGATTTACAGGCCCTTCCAGCTCAGCCCCTGCCAACCCCAAGCCCACCTCCCGTGCCCCCTGCCCTCACTGTCAGTCCCATAAATGTTCAGTGCTCTCACACCTACATGCCTGCTACTCAGCCCAGAAGCCATTCTCCTGTGCCTCACCCACTCCCTGAATGTGTCTAATTCCCACTCCAGTTACAGCTTTAAGGTCACTTCCTCCAGGAAGCCTTCTCAGCTTGGGTCATGGCGTGTGGTTTCTTGTAGAGTTGTTTGTGTCTCCAAGGTAGGAGGGAAGCTTCCGGGGGCATTCTGAGCCCCTCCTGCAGCAGGGCCCTGAGTGGACACTCAGTTATTGTTTGCTGAGGCTGAAGTCATGGCAAGGAAATACCCTGGGGTGAGGGTGGGGGATTTGTCTGCACCTTCAGCCCTTCAGACCCTCTTTCTAGCACCTTGGATTTGGGGTGAGAGGTAAGAAAAGCCGGCAGGATCATGGATCTCTGCCTGCCCAGAACGCCCTCCAAGAGAAAAAGGTGAGGTGCTAAGTTCATAAGGGGGTTGTTTTCTACCCTGACTGCACATTAGCGTCACCTGGGAAGTAAAAATAAACAAATGCCTGAGCCCTCTCCCACAGGGAGTGCAGGCTGGAACTGGGCAGCAGGGAGGGCCTCTCCTCATGGTCTGACGAGTGCCTTCTGTCCTAGGAGACTGTCTATACCTACCTGCTGGACAAGGAGTCCCGGCTGGTGTGTGAGGACCCTCCCCATGAGCTGCCCCAAGAGGGGAAAGTCCGGTAAGCCATTCTTCATCCTACTGAGCTCTCACATGGTCAAGGATCTCAGGCCTGGGGCACCTTCCAAGGTCATCTGGTCTGACCCTCCCCATCCAACCTTGAACTCACCCTCTCGGACAGGTGGGGGTTTCCTTGGCCAGGGCATTTACTCCAGTATAGAGGGGAGAAGCAATGCCTGGGTTGGGGGAATGGACAGCATAGGGAAAGTGCCAGCTGGCAGATTTTCTTTGAGAGAGCTCTTCTAAATTGCTGCAGACTCCTCAAAGCTGAGTCTGAGAATGTCAGGGCCACAGTTTATCAGTTAGAACCCCAGCAGGCTATGAGAACTGCCCGGAAGGTTCTCACGGAATCACAGAATTCGGAATCACTGAATGCTGGGCCTACAGGAGCATGTGGTACCTGAGAACAGGTTGCTCAGAGGCAGTATCCTGCTGTGGGTCCTGGAGCTCAACTGCCTAGATTCAAATCCTAGCTGCCTGGTTACTAGTTTTATAACCTAGGACAAGGCGCTCAACCTCTCTGTGCCTAGGTTTTCCTGTTTGTGAAATGGTGATAATAATAGTACTTATCTCATAGGGTTGTTGGGAGGATTAAATGAGTTTAACACATGGAAAGCACTTAAAACTGTGTCCATAATGAATGCTAAATGTCTGGTTTTGTTTTCATTATGATAGAATGTTGGAATGACTGACTTTAGGAACCTGGGCTCAGTGCCCTGTGGTCCCCTGACATCTCTGAGCCTATTGAATTCAGCCTCCTTATTTTCCAGATGGGCAAACATCATGAGATATATCCAACACCACATACATGGTGCGAGGCAGAGCCAGGCCTGGGACAGGTCTCTTGGCTCCTGGCCATTCAGGAGACAATCACGGGAAGTGGAAGTTGTCAGATGAGAAAGTATTGATGGGCAGGAGTGCTGGTCCAGGGGAGGTCAGGGCACGGAGGACGTGCTCACTGCCTTCTAAGCCCTGCAGAGCCATCTAGGGCCAGGTAACACTGGCTCTGGAACTGGGGGCTGATTGGGCACCGGGAGGCAGGTGTTACTAGAAGGCAGAGCTCCACTCTCTGGGGCAGAGCTTTTCCAACAGGCCAACAGGTCCAGAGCTGCGGCTTTTTCAGGTAGTCGCTAAGGCTGGCGTGACACTTACCTTTCACAGAGGCCTTGTAAAGAACTGCTGTTAGGGGATGCTGGAGGTCCTGCGGCTGGGGGTGTTGGTGGTCCTGAGGTCCCTCCTGGCACTTGGCACCCTGGAATCCTGGATGCTGGTCTCTCCCCCAGCCCTGCCTGTGGACGGGGCTGGTGCCTCTCTAATAGCCCAGAGCCTTCCCACCTCCTGTTCTCCCATTTGATTTCCCGTGGGATGGGTGGTAGGTGACATTTTCCCCTGCAGCATCTCCTGACAACTCCTCCTCTCAAGGACTCTGTGAATCAAGCTAACTGTGCCCCTCTCTGGCCACTACTGTCCCACCTGTAAGATGGCAGGATAGGGATGGAAGGTCTTTGGAATCTTAAGGCAAAGAAAAATGCTATAATCTCCCCTTTTCTCCTCTTCTAATTCTTAAGAACTTTGCTTAGTAGGAGCTTTCCCCACCCAGGAACTTTCCTCAAAGTGGCTGGGAAGGCCTTCCTGGGAGAGGGTGCAGGAAAATGGGCTCTGAAAGTGGAGAAAGCATCCTGTGGGGTTCACTCTGCCCCTCTGAGCCTGCAAATGCCCCCCGCAGGCTTTCTGCTGCTGGGTCTGCAATCCAGGCATTCTGGAGTGGGCTCCGGGCAGCCCTTTCTGTATCCCCGAACCCCCAGCTGCTTCAGATCAGTGAAAAGGTACAACAACAAAAGAAGACAATTAAGAGTGAATGTTCCAATGCAATTAGCCCAGAGTTCAGTGGAGATGGGGAGGCAAGTGCCTGCTGGCAGACAGGGCTCAAAATCCTAGGTGGCTGAGGAGGTGAAGAGGTGAGGAGGTGAGGAGGGTGAGGGGTGATGCAGCAGCATCGGGGAGACAGAGATCAAAGTTCACTCAGGCCAGCAAGGATTGGGGATGAAATCTGCGCTGTGCCCCCAAACCCCCACGTCTGGTGGTGAGCCCACCTCCTCCACTAGGGCTGAGACCTAGGTATGTGGGGAAGGGAAGCGCACTGGAATGGGAGTCAGGCAAGCCTGCATTCTAGCCCGGCCCCATCCCTGCCTGACCTGTCCTCTTCCAAACCTGTTTTCTGGAGACAACAGATCACAGGATCTGTCTATAGGCTTAGTGAGTTAAGAGATGCCTCGTGCTTAGTGCAGTGCCCAGCACACAGTAGGAGCTCAGAAATTGCTGGCGGCCCTCTAGCCCCAAGTCCCAACATAAATATTTACTCAGCGGGTGACCTTGACAAAATTTCTCCCCTCCTGGCCTCAGTCTCTTTTCCTAGGAAGTGGGTGGGGTTGGGTACAGGGTCCTTCTGGTGGTGACCTCTGTGGCTCTGGCCCCATCAGGAGGCCGAGGCACCTGCTCTAGCTGAGGTGGAGCCTGGGGCTCTGGCAGTACCCAGTGCCAGGGCTGCTCCTCCGGGAAACCCTGGAGGGCTGGCAAACAGCAGCAGGTGTGAAGTGGAGGCGGATCATAAAGACAGATAAGGACCAAGGGGAAGGGCAGAGAATGGAGGAAGGGTGGTGTGGGGAGGCAGGGTGGAGAATGGGATAGACCATGGGGACATCGAGGCGGACACCAGCTACCCAGCCCCTCCTGCAAGTGCCCCTACCATGCCTCACGTTCATAGACACCCAGTTTCATCCCCCAGTGTGTTTTGGGTTTCCTGCCTCCCTGTGCTTGCTGTGCTCCTCCCCTGCAGAGTCCTTCCCCATCTCCATCTCGAGCAGCCCACTTTTCACTTATCTTCCATGGCCACCCAGAGGCCCTTTAGGATGCCTGCCCCATAGTTCCCTGGTACTAAGGAGGATCCAATTATCAGAAAAGGTTACTGGGCCATAGTGGCCTCTCCCAGGGGGTAGGTCTATCCACAAGCAGAACCCTAGGCTGGTAATTAGGAGATCTGGGATCCAGGACCATATGGCTGCAATTACAATCTTATGCGATCTCTCTGGGCCTCAGTTTACACTTCTGTGAGATGACAGGATCGGACACTGTGCCATCTGAGGGCTGGTCCAGCTCTGGATTCTGCAAGGGGCCTCAGGGCGGGAAGGGGGCGAACCCTGGAGGGCTGCCAGGGTAAAGGGCTTCTGGAAGGGTCACCTCCGTCTTCTTGGTGTTCCGCCTCTATCTCCTAGCCTATTTCAGTCCCCAGCCTTGCTGCCTTCCTCTTCATATTGTGTCTCCTGCATCTTAAAGCCTCTGATTATCCTCTGCTGAGTGCAGCAAAACGGGGGCCTTTCAGCTGCAATGGAGACACCGCCCACACCAGCCCCAGCTGGTTGTCTCCTCCGCTTCCACTTAGGGAAATTTTTTCCTCAGGGCTGGCCTGGTCCCCTCTCACTGCAGAATCTGTCTGTCCCTCTGATTTATTTCGAGGGACACAGGGAATTGTTCGTCTCCATCTCTGGAGTCTCACACTCCCGTAGAGGGAGAGGGAGAGGAGGGACTAGGTCCTGGCTTGAGCCATAATTTGTCTCCCAGATAGATGACAGATCAGATCAAGATTGCGGGGGGGGGGTGTCAGTAAAGGAGCAAGGGCAACACCAAAGAAGGGGCTCAGAGGAGCAGAAGGGGGCCTGGGCACCCAGCTCTTTCCAGGCCATTGACCCCACCAACAGAAAGCCTTTCCTTCTACTCTTTCCCCTGAACAAATAGTTGTTAAAGGGATGGAACCATCATAAAATCCACACCCCTTCCTCTCTCCACTCTGCGCCCATCTGTCTTTATCTTCACTGGGGCAGATCATGACCACCCGGGCGCCCAGGGCTGAGTCATTAGCCTTTAACCTGGACAGCTGGCCCTGGGGTATGGCGGCCCCTCACCCTCCACCGTCAGCCTGGTGTGGGGGCAGGGGCAGGGGTGTCAAGAGGGGAAAGGAGGCAAGGTGGGGGCTCCGAGTTGAAGGGAGAGCCATCTTGGGGTGCGAGCAGTAGATGAAGCTCCATCTGGAGGGGAGACAGCAGTTCTGGGAAGGGTGCAGCAGAGGAAAAGGGCTCCAATGGGGGTGGGGTGAAGTGAGCATGGCCTGGCATAGCCCTGCCTGAGGCCATGGGATGTGGCTGGGCCAGGGACGGCAGGTTGCAGAGCAAGGTGCTAGGCTGCGGGACTCTTGAGGGTTGAGGATCCTTGGAGGCCCCAGCACGGTGAGAGATCTGCGCCCAGTCAAGGATGACCTGCCCCAGACTAGCCTCTCCTCTGCTGTCCAGGGACCCCTGAGACTATGGAGCACTCACTGAGCCTGGGTTTCCTGTCTCTCAGATTCTCCCTGTCTAGTGAGTTTTACCTGGCAGCCAGCAATCAAACTTGACCTTGACCTTCCCCTGCTCAAGTCCATCCTGGGGTTCCTACTGCCCTCAGGATCAAGCCCAGCTCCTCAAGGCCCTGGCCCCCCTCAGACTTGTTCCTTGCGGTCCAACCGCACCAACCTCCTTGCCGTTGGACCATCCAGCAGACTATTTTTCTCCTCCAAGCCTTTGCACACACAGTTCCCTCTGCCTGCACATCCCTTCCTGTTGCCTTGAGAACCTCTGCACTTCATTTAGGACTCAGGCATCTCCTCCTCCAGGAAGCCTTCTCTGACCCCACTTCTGTCCTGCACCTAGGTTGGCTGCGCACTCTCTTCCTCCTTTTTTCAGTTCTCACTCCTGCCCTCAGGCATGGGTCTGCATGTCAGTCCCTGCACAACATTGGGACTCCTGGAGTCAGACATATGCCTGACTCCTCTTCTCATCTCAGTCCTCAGTACCGAACCTGACCCAGAAGGACCCCAAATAAATACTCTGTGGAATGAAAGACTTCACGTAGAATGTTCCCATAAGTATTTTAGAGAAAACCTGCTCTGGCTCTGGTATGGAGAATGGATTTAAGGGACCAGGCAGAAGGCAGGAGGCAAGGGGAGTGGCTGTTGCAGGGTCAGGGGAAAGGTGGCTCTGTTAGAGCTGGGCAGTGCCTTGGGCATGGAAAGTGGGGGACATTTGTGAGAGACGCACAGGAGGCGACTCACCCATTGGCTGGGGGTGGGGAGGCAGAGGAAGGCAGCTAGGACAGTTTGTGGGCAAGCCACAAGGACCCCGTGGATGACTGTGATACTTTGGGGCTACTGGTGGCAAGGGTAAGTTCAGATTAGGACTGGGTGCTTTTGACAACCTCAGGGACATCCAGGGAAAGCCTCCAGGAATCCTTTGGGTATCTGGGGTCTGGAGCTCATGAGAGGGGGAGCTGGAGACTCTGGAGTCCATGAGCACAGAAAGAGTTTTGCGTAGAAGAGAAGAAAAGCTGAGGGCAGGGCAGATTTCTTCATCAGGGTCTCTGGGGATGGGGAGTGGAGGAGGGAGAGGCCAAGGCAGCCCTGGGCTGCAGGGTGTTGGAAGTGGAGAGTTGGGGTCAGTGGCAATGAAGCTTCGGCTCTCACCGACCAGCAATGCAGGGGCTAGCGCCACCTTGTGGCTGCCCAATAACCAGATCGTCCCAGGCCAAGTGGCAGGGTGGGGTCCACAAGAGGGAGTTTGGCTGAGAGTCACCAAGGCCAGCCCTCTGGCTCCATGAAGCCCCTTTATCAATTTAGTCATCAGGAAAAGTGGTTGCTGTTGCCTTCCTGCCACCCTAGATCCCTATTCCTTCCTGGGGTGATTGGCACAGTCAGACAGCCCAGAGCTGGAGCCCAGCACACCCGGAACCTAAAGGTCCAGAGTATGAGGGCTGATAGATGGTTCTTGTAAATTTTGAACCAGAGGCCAGGAGCAAACAGGTCTGGTTCGGAAGGCTGTGTGACCTTGACTGAGATGCTCAGCCTCTGTGTTTCTTGATTTCTCTAGGGGCTATGACCTCCTGATCTGAAGGCTTGCAGGCCACTCCCTCTCTTTTCCTTATCTGACCTTTGCTGGGCTCCCTTAGTGACCCCACATGCACACACTGGAGTTCCAGCACCTGCCCCCCTCCTCCCCAAGCTTCTCTTTTCTCCGGGTCATGCAGCTCCTATAAACAGAATTAAGTGGAGACAGCATGAGGGATGAGGAACCCAGGACAATTAATCATCAGGGAGTGACATTTGGTGAAAAATCAGGCACTTAATTAAGCAGAAAGAGCCAGAGGTGGGGGGGGGCATGTGTGGTGAGGGCAGAGAAAGTCATTCTTCCCAATTGACCTCCCCTCCCCTCCATCACACCTATGTCCTTTGCCTCCTTGACAGTCATGCCAACCCCCTGTTGGAGACCCATATACCCTGTCAGGTCTTTAGGAAGGTTCAAGTATACTGGTTAGGACTATGGGCTCTGATGCCAGCTGCCTGGGTTCAAATCCTGGCTCAACCACTTATTAGCCATATAACCTTGGACAGGTTAACCTCATCACACTTTAAGTTCCTCCACCTGAAAATGAAGAATACGATGATATTTAATTCAGAGGATTGTTGGGAATTCTGAATTCATGGCACAAATTGAATAGCTTTAGTTATGCCCATTATCTCTGGATTCCCCCTCCTGTGCTTAGCACTGAAAATGTCTACAGTGGTTTTCTGAAGAAGATGATGGTTAGAATTTGGCTCTCCTCCACCCTAGTTCTCCCTGGGAGGCTCAGAGAGGTTAGGTCACTTGCCCAAGGTCAAGTAGTAACCGAGGCAGGATTTAACCTAGGCAGCCTAGCTTGGAGCCCTTGACTTCCTTGCTCTGGGGGGTTTATGCTGGGCCCTGAGGTACCTTTCACATATCTACCAGCAAGAGGCACCAGAGGCCAGACTGTGGCTGCCTGCCCCTCTACAGGGGGAGTCAGGGTCCCCAACTCTTATTTTTGCCCTCCTGTGTCCATCCTGCAGAAGGTCAACTTGTCCAGATCCCTGCAGATGTGCAGGGTCCAGCCTGTTATGTGTGCCCAGGCCAGGGCCTGTCCTCTTTGATCCAGAGGCTGAGAAGTGGGATCATGTCTTTTTTTCAGAGAGGCTGTGATCTCCCGAAAGCGGCTGGGCTGCAATGGACTGGGCCCCTCAGACCTCCTGGGGAAGCCTTTGGCTAAGCTGGTGGCCCCATTGGCTGCTGACACCCAAGGTAAGGGCTGGAAGCCGGGACGGGGCAGGGAGGGACTGTGACCCCTGCTTCCCAGGTCATGTCTATCTTCTACCCTTGTTTTCATCTCTCGGTCTCCTTTTTTTTTTTTTGCTCTATATCTGTAGCAATCCCTCCATCTAATTCTCTCTCTATTGTGCTACTAACTTCTCTGAGCCTCAATTTCCCGATCTGTAAAATGGGAGCAACAGAACCTACCTTGAGGGGGCGTTGTAAGGAGGAGCAGATACGATAATGCGTGTCCAGGGCCTGGCACACACTAGGGCTCTGTGGCCCATGGCTGCAGTGATGATGTGTGTGCTTGTTTCTAGATGGGCTGTGGCTGTTGTCATGCTCTCGCTGTCACTGTCTCTGTTTTTCTTCTCTTCCTCTCCATGTCCCCTGTCCGCCATGTCTCTGCCTCGTGTCTCAGTCTCTCTAGGTCTCTGTCCTCTGTCTCGATGTGGAAAGTGCACAAGACTGGGAGTCAGGAGACCTGACTTGCTGTGTGATCTTGGGCAAGTCACTTCCCCTTGCTGGACCTCAGTTTCCCAATCTGTAACATAGGGGTACTCAGCTCTACCTGCCTCCCTCCCTCTCAGGGCTGCTGGGAGGATCATAAGAAAGTTGTCCAGTGAGGGGATTTCCTTCCACGCAGGGGTCATTGCTGTGGTTGTTTTTGTTGCTGCCTCAGGACGCCCCTCTCTGTCTCTGGGTCTCTGGGTCCCTCTGTGTCTCTGTCCCAGCCTCTCCTGTCTATGTCTTTGTCTCCCTCCCTGGGTCCCAGCTCAGTATCTCTGAGCCTCACTGGCCCCGCAGGACCACCTTATTGCCCTCTTCCCCTCAGTGCTGGTCATACCGCTGGTGGACAAGGAGACTGTGGCTGTGGCAGCCGTCATCTTGGTAAGAGCCCTTGTGGGGTGGGGTGGGGGAGGGGGGAGCAGGGGAGGAGGGAGCGGTGGGCGGAGCCTGTCTGG